GAAGGAAGGAAGGAAGGAAGGAAGGAAGGAAGGAAGGAAGGAAGGAAGTCAGTGCCATGATTACAGTCTGCTGGGATGGCTGCCTGCGATAGTTCACCAAAGACCTTTCTCTATTCTAGTGAGAACTGGGATTTTGTTTCTTGTTAAGCTATGGCGAATTATAGTAGCACAATGGGCTGATCTCAACTGTCAGTTGTGTTTCAACAAGCCATGCCTGTCTTATGGCAACCCTAAGATGATTTTCTAGGGACGTGCAATATATAAGGAGTAGTTTTACCATTTCCACCCCTCCCCATGAATATTCTATGGCTGAGCAAGGATTTGAACTCAGATCTTCTGAGTATACACGGGCTTTTCCCATTAGCATAGGTTAACTGAATCAGAAAGACTCGCGTAAGTGTTGACATAACAAGTCCTAATAATTTTAAATGGGTCTCTTCCAGTTGGAACTAACAAGTGGACTCAGCTCAGTTTACAACACTTCCTGCCTCAAAACAGATGCAGAGAGAATCTAAAATGTCAAATGGACGCACCCACACACTTACATAGTTTGGAGATATCCCTGGTCTTCAAAACAGGAAAGGAAATGGAATTCCAGAGCTGATCCTCTGCATGCCACAACTGAGCCCAAGGAGGCTTTTTATGATGCAGTTAATCCTCTGAGTACAGAGCTTTACAACAGAAATGCTAACCGTCTCTTAGCCCTATCAGTAGTTGCCTGTCATATGGTGCAATTTTTTTATGTCCCTGGAAAATTATTTTGGAATGCTCTCTCTCTCCCCCTCAGCTTTGCGATTTAAACAGAAGGCGTGGGAGAACAGGTCAATCATTCCACAAGGGATCTCCACCCTAAGCTCCAGAAGGAATAGGCAAAATATGTCTGCTCCAATACACTGATAAAAATGCATGTTTTGGATTACTGTTCCTTCGGTGCAGGAATATTGCTGGAGATCCAATTGGTTGTCCCAGCTCAGTGGGAAGAGTTGCTTGGTGCCACCTGGGGAGTCACAGACCGGATGGGACATAACAGGATGCAGCTTGCTTCCTAGTGGCTGGAACCTTGCTATATGATTTGTGGCTCTCCAAGGTCCCTTACTGGGTGCTTGCTTGTGCAAATAAAACCTTACATACATGCAAAGGATTCAGAAAACTGTTATCCAACCTACAATTTTCTATTACCTGCTATTTTTTATACACGTATGAATATACAGAGAGAGAGAGAGAGAGAGAGACTCTTATACACATATATTTAAGATGAGGGAACATTCAAATGTTCAGTTCTTCTAGGTTAAGACAATTGGGGGGGGGAATGAAGGGCCATAGGGCCAGGATTGTAGACTAGACACTTAAATACCCCATATTATTTGCCCCTTGGCTTAACCACTGAAATGAACATGATCAGACTAGAATTGGGCAATTTCTGAGGACCAAGGGCTATTTTTCATATTTTCTGGCAATTCAAAGGGTTTAATCTCAAGATGTAGGATTAATAAGGAAGGGCATGGCCAAAGAAGCTAATCTGTGTATTTATTTTTATTTTTTTATTATCCCACTGGTTTTTATTTTGCCATAATGTATGTTTTTTGTTAACTGGAAAAAATAGATATACTGTAACTAAAACAGAAGCTTTAAGAAACTGAAAATGCTTGAGCCCTCGAGTGGCCAAAATATATATTTTAAAATATATGTAACATTTTTGGTGCCTACAAAAGGGGGGGGGGGATCCCAGGCATGCTGGTGAGTCACCAAAACATGACAAAATTGCCTCAGTGTCCCCAAGTGGACAGGAGGGATCTTTCTGGATTGAAAAAAAACAAAAGTTCAAAAAACAGAGAGACACTTTTTTTTGGTGGTAGGGATATAAAAATGTTCCCAGAGGATCCATACACAGCCAAATTCAACTCTTTCTACTGTACTTTGTATGAAGTCTGAATCCAGACTAAGAATTAAAAAGAAAACTTTGCAGAACATTCTATTTCCGCAACATTTTTTCCCTGACTGCGCCCTATGAGATCACTGTTGTGCAGGCGACAGAGAGAGAGAGAGAACAAGATACATCTCCTCAAATCATGCTTAAAATATGAATAATAAATAATAATTAATAAAGAAGAATAGTTTCAGAACTGCAATTACAACAACATGACATTATCCACATACTTGACCTGCAGGGAGCATATTCAACTATTTTAGACCCATCGTGAAGATAACAAGTTCCCACAGGCTCCCTCTCTGCTTTCTGTTCAGTTCTCCAGTGATACAGTGGAGCGCATGCCTGTGGAGGAAGCAAAACTGCAATATTTAGAAAGCTCTTCTAGAAAGCTAATTGTTTCATCCAGCCCTGGAAAATGTGGCGGAAAACAAAATTAACAAAACAAAATACTTTGGTTGAAATTTACTGTATATACGGATCACACAGCTTTATCCATACTACAGGAAAGGGGCTCAGCTCCTACTGCAAAAAAATGTATTCCTCTTGGCAAAATCTCTCCCAAATTATGTACTTTATAAACTAATTGGGTAGGAGGTGAAAATGGATGGGTAATTTCAAGTCCTATTGTCAGTTGAAGTTCGCTGATGCCAGCAAACCGAATTTGTGAGCACCACCCATCATTCATCAAGGCCATGTCAGCATCTGCCACAACCTGCAGCTCACTTGAGTGCCCAAATGCTGCCAGCAAACTGGAAACAGCTGTGTATGCACTATGAAGCAGAGCTTGGAAAACTAACTTCCCCAAACTCGGCAGGGTAAAGATGCACAAAGGCAGCTATGGAATTCTGGAAGCTGTCCTTGCATTTGGGAAGCTGTACCAGCAGGCAGTTTGTCCAACCTTTTGGGTTTCTAAGTGCCTTCAGCTTGATCCCAACTTATGGTGACACTTTCTAGGGTTTTTTTTTTTAAAGATATAGGGCATTCATGGGTGATCTACCGTTCCCTGCTTCTTGGGGGCTTTCTGGAACTGTGCAGTTATGCAGGTTGGCTCTTACCCCTATCTCGATGTGGGGGCGCTCACTACCTTGGTGCACGCACTCGTAATCTCAAGATTAGACCACAGTAATGCGCTCTACGTGGGGCTACCTTTGAAGTTGATGCAGAAACTCCAATTGGTGCAGAATGCGGCGGCCAGACTCCTTAGCGGAGCGAGAAAATTCCACCATATTTCTCCTATTTTGGCCACACTGCACTGGCTGCCCATTCGGTTCCATGTCGACTTTAAAGTTTTGATGCTTACGTATAAAGCCCTAAACGGTTTAGGGCCTCGATACTTGGCAGAATGCTTACTCCCACCCAGCTCTACCCGTGTCACTCATGTCAGTCAGCAGGTGAGGCTGAGGGAGGCCCAGAAGGAAAAGACAAGAAATCGGGCCTTCTCGGCGGTGGCTCCTCGCCTCTGGAACAATCTGCCTCCGGTGATTCGCACGGCAACCTCTCTGGGTACTTTTAAAAATCAATTTAAAACGTGGATGTTTAAGCAGGCCTTCCTCCCCAGTTAATTCCTGACCTTTTCTCTCCTCTCTCTATTTGATTTATTTTGTACTCTTCCCATCTTTCAGAATTATTTAATTCTGTAATTTTTAAAATATTTGTTATGTTTTTATGTTGTAAGCCGCCTAGAGTGGTCGAAATGACCAGATAGGTGGGGTATAAATAGAATAAATAAAATAAAATAAATAAGGCAGAGTGAGGAATCAAACTCTCACCTCCAGACCCCACAACCAGGTGTTCCAGATCCTGGAGCTAAGCACTCAGTGAGCTAGCCTGCCAGCCGTTATTTCAGATGAAACGATTGCCCAAAATGTCCCTTTCCCCAGGGCAGCTGTAGGGGCTTGCAGAGGGTTAAAAGCAGTTGCTGTACGACATGTTCGCCCCCTGCCATTCTGCACCATTCATGATTGTGGGCGGCCTTTAGTTCTCCTTGACTCTTGCATGTGGTGCAGCAGCAGCAGGAGCTGGAACTGCAGCCTTTAGTTCTCCTTGACTCTTGCATGTGATGCAGCAGCAGCAGCTGGAACTGCGCCACAGCCCTAAAGCTATGGGCAAATAACAACCTCTATCTTGATCACACCAAGCTATGGGCAAATAACAACCTCTATCTTGCTCATCCTCACACCAACTTTGTGGGTGGGCTCAGTACTACTGATCCGGGATGACAGAGAGCATGCTATAAAAGCTAGACATTTGGGGCAATGGAGGTAAAAATAAGACTCCAAGGCAAACTCCTGGAGCCAATCTTTTATTTCTCTAGGCTTTCACGAGTTTCAAAGGAGGAGACAGAAGATGGTGATCCAGAGCCCTGTCATGGGCGACCTACTATCACGCAATGACCCAAATCCCATCTCCCCATCTCACACCTCTCTTTTGCCTCTCAAGGGTAAAACAGAGGTGGGGCAGACCTCTGAGGCTTGCCTTTGGCCCCGGGGAGTCCAACGGCTGTTCTCTGCTCTCTCTCCTCCAGATCGGAATTCTCTTGCTCGGCAAGCGTGTTCTGCTCTTTCCCAGAGATCACACCATGTATGGGCAACAGCACCCTAGCCTAATCCCAATCCATGTGCAAGATGGATCTCTTTAGACCAGTGGCAGGGCTACTACGTTTGGGGGCCAGGCTGCAGCAATCCCCCGACAGATGGAGCACTTGCTTTAAGGAAGATCATTCCCTGCAAAGTGACTCTCTCGGGTGTAATAACTACACAGGATCCTTTTGATCACAAATCTGGGCAAAACTAAGGACCTGCGATGGCAGGTATACGTTATGGGTATGGGAAAAGGAAGACGAGTCTAGAAGCCTGTATCCACAATTACTCATAAAATATTTTACATCACTCTCCTTAGCAATCAACATACCAATCAAATTTAAACCAACAAAATGTTGCAGTGCAGAATTCTGTCATTCAGGATTCCAGAGATTCAATTCTATCCCTAATTTCAGTTTTAAGCCCCAGAAGTCATCAGTATTCTCCATCCATAAAAGATGCCCAGCTTTCATTGGGCTTTGCATTTTTTTTCTTCCTCCTTTAGGGCTCCTCCATCTATATCTAGAGCATACTGGGGCTTCCCCAGGTCTGCAGATAACTGTTACAGTGGTGCCTCAACTTACAAAATTAATCCACATTGGAACAGTGGCCATAACTTGAAAATTTCGTAAGTTGAAGCACCATTTCCCATTGGAATGCACTGAAAACCATTTAATCCGTTCTGGCCAAAGGGAAAAAAAAACACAAAAAAAATCCAAAAATTTGCTGTGGACGCTACCCGGCAGTCGGGGTGGCTTTGGAAGCCCAGGAGGCTGAGCCTCCCTCTTCCTAACCGTTGGGGCAAAGAAGCAGCCTCTTTGGCACCCACAGTTTGAATTTCCCGCCCTTTCCCCCTTTCCGCCCTTTCCCCCTGCCTTTTTTTCTTTCGTAGGTCGAAGCTCCAGCCACAAGTTGAAGCAAAACTTTGTGGCCGGAGCTTTTCGTAACTCGAAATTTTCATAAGTAGGGACGTTTGTAAGTCAAGGCCCCACTGTATATGGATTGGCTAGTACTGAGAGACGTGAGATCAGGAAAGGGAGAGAGAAAGAGAGAGCTTATAGCATATAGACGTACCAAAATTTTGTCATCTTTAGATCTCACTGATGCTCCAAACCACTGATTAGACTTAAATTCCAAGGGGTCATTTGGACCAAAATCCCGGTTGCCTGAAAGTCAAACACATTCAATCAGGATAACTGTACAAAAAGGTACCATCAAGTTGTACCCAGCTTGTCCATCATTCTGTCCATGACATTACACTCCCCTCAATCTTGTTGGAAAATATAATTAGACAACACAGTACGTATATGTGTAGCTGTGTGTTTAAATGTGTTTGCTATGAAAGACGAGACTGTTGTATTTGCATAGCATAGCATTCTGACCAATCAGAATGTGTCTGGAGTCAGCCAGGCAGCTATATAAGGCAGGCCTCAGTTAGAAGTCTGTCAGATTGAGTCTCAGAGGCTATGTAGCTCAGATAGGGACATGTACAAACATGTGACACAGACAGGGTCCAATATGTGACAGGAACTATTACAGGGTTGCCGCTGAAATTTTATTTTTCATTTCCCTGAGTTTCTCTGACCAACATTTGTCAATTTCCCTGACCACCATTCAAATATAACCACCAGTTTTAAAAAATGAAGATATCCTGTTGCATTCAGGCAAGTCTTAATGAAATGTTCCACTCTGCAACTACAGAAGTCTCAACTGCAAAAGTATTTGTCAAAGTAAGAATTTATTTTTAGCTTCTTTCAACATTAACTGCAGCAACATCTGTTTTGCAATTGCACCAAAAATTACACCAAGATACAAACTTCAAGTAAACTCTGAATGCTAACAAGTGACATAACATTTTTGTTATTATTTTCAAGGTACACTAAAAATTATATAAACGTTCCATCTAAAATCTTTGAAAAGGTCATACATGTTGCACAAGACTGAATTCAGGTCCCATTTCACTGCTTGCAATCCTGTTTTCAAAGACCCAAGTACAACGTGAAGGGTAGAAGTTCTAAAGTCCATCAATTCTTTTCCTTTTCCTTTACAGCAGGTGTCCCCAACCCCCAGTCCACAGCCCGTGCCAGTCTGTGGGCATGGCAAAAGCAGGCCGTGGAGACAGATCTCCCACCCACCCTGCAAGCACTCCCCCATGCACGACCTGCCCCCCACACGCATGGCTGCCCCTCCCCTCCGCAAATGCCCCGCCCATCCACACATGCATGCAAGCATTCCGCCCCTCCGGCCGCCCACCCCACACAGACCCTGCCCCCCAACCGGTCTGTGGTTCAGAAAAGGTTGGAGACCACTGCTTTAGTCAAGGTTGGTTTCAATTTCTTCTAGTTTTCTCAGAAAAAGGTGATTTACATTTGGCCCATCCATAGATACTTGTAATAATTTTGCAGCTGATGAAGAAGACATGCCTTCTTGAAGCTTCTGAAGAAGGTCTTCAACAGTAGCGGTTTGAAGAAAAACACTGGTTAGATACTGTGTGGAAATTTTATGGCAGTAATCATTCCAAAAACAAACCACTAAATCCATCTGTCCCTTTTGAACCACCTTATTCAAAGCTTCATCAAAACAGATAACAGATGTTTGGCATTGTTTCAGCTGTTTCAGTAAAAGATCAGAGAAATACGGTGCCAAGCCAAAAGCAAGAACATACACTGCTTTTGTTTTTCCAAGGTGAAACTGTTGAGCTGTCTGGCTATCTGAGAAAACATTCGCTTGAATAACTCACTGACGTCGCTACAAGAGTTAAATGACGTCTTCTTCATCACCAGTTGCAAAGCCCACAGGCTGTCCTAACACAGTCCTTGATTACATTAGTAGCCATACTAGTTGGTGTGGTGGGTAATTCTTTGCTATTTTCATCACTCTGATCATGTTTTGCAGTTTTCGCAGGGGCTGCCTCTTCACCCTCTCTGGTTTTACTATCTGAACTTGTATTTGGCTTTTAACCTAAACATGTTGCAATGGACTGCTGACTTGATTTAATGTTCAGGTTCTTCTGATGTAATGGTCCTTGTGCTTGAGATTCCACAGCTCTAATTCCCATATTACTTAGGTCCAAGTTAGTTTTGTAGCACACTTTACAATATCCTTTGCATTCGTCTCCAGCAACTGGTGGCAGCTACAAAGTCAAGTCGGGATGAAATTTGAAATCCAGCCACTGCATACAGTATTAAAACTGTCCTCTTAGAATAGAGGTCTGTGGCCTGAGCCGGACTGGCCCGCGGAGTCAGATCTTCTCACACACACACAAACACACACAGAGAGAGAGAGAGCCCCTTTGAGCATGCACGCGTGCACCAGCGCCCACATGACCACTCCCCCACCCTTTTGCACATGTGCCCGAGTGCTGGCCGTGCCATTTGCACATGCGCACGACTGTGAGCCCACCCCACATGAGCACCCTCCCATTCCTTTGTGCATGCACACATGTGTGCACACCATGCGAGAGAGAGCGCTCCTTCGCGCATGCGCACGAGGGGGTGCCCTGCCTTCCCCAGCTGGTCTGCAGGGTTAAAAACGTTGGGGACCCCTGTCTCAGAAGAAACCTTCAAAATGTGGTTTCAGATACAGCCATACACAGAGCCACTTGTCTGACACCAAGTTGTTAGTAGATTTATTTTCTGGCAAGTCGGAACTTTCCGAACCTGGGAAAGTTTCACTTTCACTTTCTGCTTCCAGAAAGTGTAATGAGCAGATCAGCAGCAAGAAAGGAGGTGATCATTTCTGCAATCTAGAGAAACAGACAACCCTCATTTGCAACCTTTACGCATGGGAGAAGTCAGGGAAGAGGGTGAAAGAGCTGGTACTCTGTAAACTCCAGCAGGAACAATCAATCACATTTAAAATTTTTACTTTGCATAGTGCAGAGCAGAAAGTGCTAGCTGACTGTGAACTCCAACAGCAGCAAAATTCATTTGCAACTCTGTGCTGGGTTTAGCAGGAGACAAAAGGTCCATTCCATACACAAGCATGACCCCAAAACATGCTTATCTTTATATGTAAGTTAAATGCAGTAGTAGTAGCAGGTAGGGATGAAAACGATGTTTAAAGTTTGTCTCTTGCTAAACGTTTAAACTAGCCTTGCTTTGCAAAGGCTACAGGAAGACCTTGGAAGTCATGCAGGGACAGAGCTCAACAGACCCATGAGGCTGGTGGCTGGGGGCAGAGCTGGCAAAGGGCATCACCAAGTGTTACTTGTATTCTGCTACTTCTCTATTCCAGTTGCCACAAGGACAGATCATGCTCTTGAAGCAGCAGGTCAAGAATCCACTGCTTGAATACATTTTAATCACAATTTCCCTGACTTTCCCGAAAGTGGCAACCTTGTAATTATTATATGCTGATAGGGCTGACGAAGATGAAAGATGTAACTGACAGAATCTGAGAGGGCCAGAAAGGATTTATGAATGTAACAGTGTAACAATGAGACAGTTAGTTAGCTATTAGAGACAAATAGGTCTGTCAAAACTCTCAAGAATATGTATGACAAAAATCAAACGTCTAAGCACTATGAATTATGTTTTACATACGTTTCTAAGCAGTAAATACTATTTAATGTTTTAACCAAAAGACAAAAGTGATTAGTTTACTATCAATTGCTGGCACAAAAGAGAGAACATCAAATTTAATTCTACCAAGTAGTTTTGTTTATCAATACAATTTCAAGCTGCTGTGTTGCAGATTCTGCAAGTTAGAGGTGATATGTTATTTAAGGCAGTGGTCCCCAACCTTTTTCAATCCACGGACTGGCTTGGGAAGGCGAGGCACCCCCCGCGCTTGCGCGCATGCACGAACAAGTGCACGCTTTCTCTCGCATGGGCGCAGCCGCACTCATGTGTATGCACAAACAGTGGTGCAGTGCTTGCATGGGCATGCTGGAGTGCGTGTGCAGCCGCAAACGGGCTGTGTGGTGGTGAGTGCGTGGGGGGGGAGCGGGAGGTCTGTCTCGGCGGCCTGGCCTGGTTGGGGACCTCTGATTTAATGTAACTAAAAAGCCAACAAATCCAACAGCAAACTAGGACCGGGGGTTGGGGACCTCTGATTTAATGTAACTGAAAAGGCAACAAATCCAACAGCAACAGACTCAAATTAAAGGCAAAATATTAAACAAATTATTAGACAAATTTTCAAAATCTTCCTTCGAAACGAAAATGGTTAATTGCTGCTGAAGAAAGAGAACTGGTTGGAAAGGTATCTAATACTCACTGTAATGAAGAGTCATATATACAACCCTAATAGATCTGCCAAACGCTTTGTTTGTTTGCAGTATCCTCTGAAGAAACCTTAAGAGGAGAGAGGTCTTCCAGCCCCATCCAGACTGGGCAACGAGGCAGACGTGGAAGACTCACTAACCACATCAGCTTTGGTCTTTGCAAACTTCCTCAAAAGACGAGCTTCTACTTCAAAATGTGCTCCGTTAGTTTAACTCCATCACGGCATTGCCACGCTGAGTGACTAATTACCTCATTCCGCACTAGCAGTGAAACGTGTGCCTGAGCTGCCCTACAAAGTCAGTGAGATGGTACTTCAACTCATTGTGTTTAGAAGTGTTTATTGGTTTTGTATGTTAACAACACATTACAAAATATCCACAAGTAGAAAAGGAAGATATTGTCCCAGTGTGTTTTTCTACAGTTTCAAATAAATCACAACTTGCCCTGAGCTGATTGGTTTCATCTCAGTGATCACCAGATGCCAAGTTCATTGACCGTTGCAATTTGGTTACAATTGTCAGGAGCCTACAGCACTTCTCAGGGCGTCTTGGACAGTGGTTCCCAACCTTGGGTCGCCAGATGTTCTTGGACTACAATTCCCAGAAATCCTTGCCAGCACAGCTAGTGGTGAAGCTCCTGGGATTTTTAACCCAAGAATATCTGGAAGCCCACAGTTGTGAATGACTTGATCTAAGGTGACCACAAGCCCCACATCTGAGAAATTTTGGTCCATAAGGAAAACAGTGGCTACTCCGGGATACACTGATCTAACATAACACCACAGGAAGGTCTGCCCGAGTGTGTGATTTGCCTCCGAGCTGTTGGCTACCCATCCAAGGCAGCTACTTATGCAAGCTGCTTCCACAGACAGGCGAAGATTTTTCTCTGCTGTCCACCCTTCCCTTAGTAACTGGCCGCCTGTGTGTGACTTTTAGATA